TTAAAGTCCAGGGGGTGTCATAAATTAACTGTGAGCGTAACAGCTATTAAAAACTGTAACTCCAGGGAAGATATGCTCGACGTCATTACAGCCCCTTGGCACGGCCCCGGGTCAGCTCAATACCCTTCGAATCGCCGCTCACAGTTCGATCTCCCGCTTTCATTCTCAAAACCGTCCTCCCAACTCCTCAGACAACACGATATGGATTGGGGCTGGGGCGGGGGCAGGGGTGGAGAGACAGAGGGGGGAAAAAAGAATGAAAACTATACAGCCTGATGGATGGAAATCAATAGTCCCTCACGCCCAGACTTCTCCTGGTCTTCAGACTCCAGCGTCTCCTTGAATAATTGGGTAATAGAGGCAGAAGGCTCGCAGCGAGTATCACTGGCTGGGTCGAGTCGTTTTTTCCAGATCTCCTATTACGGCGGACTGGCAGGAGACACTGTGGCCGGTCCTCACGTGGAGCCTGAGCCAGCGCTCAGGACGACCTACCTTTGGGTTTCATGACGGCTAGAGTTCAGAGATGCAGACGCACGCAGCTCGAGATCAGACGCTCAGAAGCAGAGGCAATTTGTACTGACATATAATTAGACCAGAATAATCAGGCATCTCATCCCAAATTAAAAGGCTACACCAGAATAAATCCTAAAATATTTCTGGAGTCTATGCCAATTACCTCACCTGCAGATCTAAAGCTGAGCTTTTAGGAGCGGATGCATTTTGCATCACCCAGGCTTTCCTGAGAGCTGTCAACACCCAGCGTGTTGTGACGAGTGATACCAGAAAAACATAATATATCCAAATCACAAGGTCTATAATTTAAATAGTTCAGGACTAATGTCTAAAGCACACGTTTCGGGACCAGCAGAGCACAACCTGAAACCTCAAAACAAGACACGCTGCTATTAAACTCTCTACTAATTCAGGGAAATGTTTATTAACATAAACAGAGAATCCGTCAGCTACTCAACTAGCTTTGGACAAAGGAATCGGCTGCGAGTGATGCAGCGTAGACTGGGACTCAGTTATCTCAGCCCAGTACAACCCTGGTGCTCAAAATGGTGTTACCAGAAGCTGGGAGTCCTTGAGAAGATCCAGTTACACTTAAAGTTACAACCCCAAAGCAGATGCCAGGAGGGGCTGGCTAAGGCCCAAGAGATCAATGGCGACAATCACCCAAATGATGTTTAAGGCTATGAAGGCTTCACAAGGGCCTCTGAGTCCTCACGGACCTTGATGGGGTGAACGGCATGTCCACCTCATCTTTTGGAGCTTTCCAAGAGCAGGCACAGGTCCAGGGCTCTCTACCAGAAGTGTGTTAACCTCACAGCTCCACAAGATGCTCTCTGCCTGACATCAACAAAAATTTAATTTAACGTGAACTCTGCACAAAGGAGAATTCAGTCACAGCAGGGGCATGGATACCCTGGCAGATTCTGGGAGCCCAGCCCTTTACAGGGACCCTTCAATATGAAAAATTTTAATAATGTAACTGGGGACCCAAGGTGACATTTTTTCAGGGGGCTCAAAACTTCTAGCAGGAGGTAACGTGGTCTGGTGTCTGTCATATTCATCTGGAAGGAAGAACACTGTGGTCTTTCAAATGCAGAGCTGCATCTCAGCCCCTTCTGCTGTAGGAGCACTGTGGGAGGTCCAGTCTGATAACAGGTGCCTGTGATCAGCATGCTGCGTGGCTGGGGAGGGGGCACACATGGTCATGTCATCATGCAACTGTTTGGGGGACAGGGGATCACCATGACGGTCAGTCCACCACAATCACACCATATATGAAACCATTTATACAGACTCATTTTTGAGGTGCTTACAAAACAAGGAATAAAACCAGCCTGTTAATATCAGTCAAGAAAAGAAAGGACTCTGTACTTCACAAAAAGAAATAACGTTCAGTGAGTTCTATCCATCCATCCATCCATCCATCCATTTTCTGTACCCACTTCAGGGTATTCAGGTACACAGGGTCAGTGAGTTCTAGCTACGCATATTTCTTCAGATCGAAAGTACATACCCAACTGGGAGGGGGGTGCAAAGTGACATTTTGTGGGGGGGCTAGCCCTTGGTACTGGCTCAAAGTTAGGAGCACCTTGTTCTGGTAGTACTGACACACAGTTAGGGGCCCCTGGGTCTGGCAGTACTGACACACAGTTAGGGGCCCCTGGGTCTGGCAGTACTGACACACAGTTAGGGGCCCCTGGGTCTGGCAGTACTGACACAGAGTTAGGGCCCCCTGGGTCTGGCAGTACTGACACAGAGTTAGGGGCCCCTGGGTCTGGCAGTACTGACACAGAGTTAGGGGCCCCTGGGTCTGGCAGTACTGACACAGAGTTAGGGGGCCCTGGGTCTGGCAGTAATGACACCCAGTATGAGGCTCAGCTCTGGTTTTCCTGCTCTGGCCATCTTCCTGCAGCGATTACTACAGGCAGTACAGCAATTCTGTCTTCCTCTTACATACAAATTACAGAACTATTTGTTTACATTTGCGATGAACCACAGTGTTTCCCCCAGGACACTCCAGGACTACCATGCACAGGAGGGAAATGCAGAGCAACACTGAAAACATTTGCTCAGGCTGCTCAAATCTCTGTCTGTGAGTTAAAGTGCCGATACTGGACCCGTGTCAAACTCACGGCCATGCCACTGACACTATGTGGCCCGTCATTTTCACACTGTTAAGCCAAACATCATTTTGACATGAGACTGAAGCTGAAAAATTAGTGAATTTTGCAGAATAGGGTGACAGTGGGAGTAATATTCTTACTGGGGGGTACTGATTTGCATGGCAAGCCTTGAATAATGTTTATTTTGCAATTTGCACTCTGAGGCATCAGGAGTTGAGATCTGAGAGCGAGAGAGGAAAAGGGATCCAATAGGTGCAATTCGGTGACCTACATATTAAGGTTGCCTTGGAAACATCGTGGTTGAAACAAGCTAGCCACACAGCCGCCGGGGGTCCAGGTTACACGGGTCATAAATGGGGATTCCTCTCCTAGCAGGTGAATCTTTGGGATGTTAATCAACACTTATGTTCAGAAAGCAGCGCTAAGGGAAAATCTCATGATGGTGCCTTACCAGTCCTTTATCATGTAACCAGTGTGACAGATATACCTACACCTCTTTATGTCATCATAACAGAGGATATCCAGTTACAAACTGTCCCTCCCAGTCGTAACAGCCTCTGGCACAGGTCCGGCTGTGTGGCACGTTCCTGTGGCGAGAGACCTCACTAGCGTGTCCGAACGGGGAGAAGACAGAGAAGATTGGACACTTTTGGTCCATCATTAGGGGTATTTTTCCCTAACAAAGGATGAGGAACAGAAATAGGCTGGCCAATTACTACTGAGAGGCTCTCATTTGCTCCACCGTGCCGCAACCCTGGGGCGCCTTTGTGGCCTTATCTGAAACCCAGCAACCGAACACCCTGCAGCAGCAAAGCCAAGAGCGACGGGGCAGAAGGCTGCAGATGACACAGACCGTCATCTCCTCTGTCAACCGGGGATCAAAAGACACCCAGATCACACCGCCTAAAACCAGAGACTCACTTGAGGGATGTCCTGGAAAAAAAAGAAGAAACCAGAGACTACTTTCCTCGATTAACCCCATTTCACCATAGCAGTACAAACGTCAATCCCCCAGGATGGCTTTGGTGACTCCAAGTGAAAGTTAAATATTGGTAAATCAATAACCAAAGACAGTCAGATTGTGTAAACTGATATTTAAAATGGCCATTTCTGAGAAGCCCTCCCGCAATCTTGGTTGGAATTAGTCTAACACAGACATACATCCTTAAAACATCACTTTGCAAAATATATCGTGGGCCTATAAGCGTTACCAAATATTGATCGTCTACCTTAAAGCAAGTAGGAGCAAAATGTCTTAATTCTGCACCTAATTCTGTCATGGCAAACTTCATAAATGTTAAGATTCGTCAGTCAGTGTAGAGATTCGCCTTTAGAGAAACGTGTTCAGTTACAAGCCGAAACTGTAACTGCGGCCGTATCGTGTTCCGTATTTGCTATATTTCAGGCGATCACTGTCATTGGACCAGTATCCGACTATTGAGGGATCTGTCAAGCAACTAAATAACAGCTTATGAAACAGGAGAAATTTGACAGGCTGTTCGGGGTCCCAGCAGGACATGTTTATGCCATTTACGCATTATTTCACTGATACAGAACAGTAATACCAAATTCACCACTGCACATTTGCTCTTCTCCCACGGGCACCTCGTAAATGGTCTCAAGACACCAGCACCAGCGCAGTAAATACCACATAAAAGTGTCAAGAATAAGGACAACGTCCATTGCTTATTTTTAATCTAGCGGATTAAAAAGTAATATACTAAATATCCTAATATATCCGTTTATAAAGTAATATACTAAAAATGACAACGCAAAAAAATATATAAAACACGACCAAATATTACATTAGATAGCAGGAAAGAGGCGCAGGGGAAATTTCCCCACTCCCCACATGCAAAGCACGCTGGGTTTGTACAAAAGAGAGCCCTATAATCTTTTATATCCCGAGGATCAGCTGCTGAACGCCGGCTTCCTCGCTGGAAACTGAAATTATTACCCGTCCAGACCCAGCTCTGAAATTAAAGTAGAGCGGCACTTCAGATCAGTTTCTGAAGCCATTTCAGACGGAGACACCTTGATTTTCCTCCAGCTCATTACACACACACACACACACACACACACACACATTCCATGAAACCAATTTGGTTGATGGCTCGCAAAGGTCATCTGACTTCAAAGACAAGTTGTACTTCCCGGCACAGTCCCCAGCTTCCCACACCAGGCAATTAAAACGTTTTGACAGCAAGTTGTTACCGCAAAAAAAAGAAAAAAAAAGAATTACTCTTATTTATAAAGGAACAAACCTCATTAATAAACACCATATGGCGTCCCCGTTCGTTGCTTGCAACGGGGTCTAAAAAAATATATATATTTTCCGCTCCAAACTCAAGGGTCATTATTTACCATTAATCGTTGGGTGTTGCAAGTCAGAGATCCATAGAGATCAGTATCAGTGCCCTGGTCAATCTCCCTCACACCGGTAGGAATCGGGCACAAAACCGTGGTTCCATGATTAATCCCGAAGTCCCGCAACTGTGCCCGGGCTGTCTGGGTACCTTCTGGGCTAGGCGAGGCGGCGCGACTCGGGCTGCACATCTCCCGAATCAATTTCCTGGCGATCGTACATTTTTCAATCTGGTCTCGGCTGGCCGCTACCCCGACGGACTTAGTTGGCTCCTCGGTCAAAGTCGTGTCTTAGTACAAATTTAGAAGAAAAAATAAAGCAACTCGGTTCATCATCCCCGTGCGGAAACCCGTGAAAATCCGTTCAGCTGTTGCCTCAGCATCGGACCTCCACTTAACAAAGTATCAAAATGATCCGGTTCTTGTTACTGAAACCAAATATTTCCCCCTCCGTCCCCCTGCGTGCATTTTCACGATCGGAGCCCAGGTTCAATGTCACATCAGCGCCTTTTCCCCTCGGTTTTCCTCCAAACGCAGTCGGCTTGGGCTGTGCGCGCACACGCGTTTATAGATGCGCTGGACGCGCTCGGCGCTCCGCTCATCCACAGAGCGGCGGGGAGACTCGCCGGCCCCGATCCCCGGGGAGCTCAGGAGGCGATGCCCCGATCGCCCGCAGACTTACACGCAGAAGCTGCGGGTGTGTGTTACGATGCAGTAAAACCCCGACGGCTGGAACGGGTATCCCCTCCACCGAGTTCCATTCGTCTGCTCGCAAATCATTCCCGTCCTTCGGTTAAGCTCGGGATGCTGTGTCCGCAAGTCCTGCGCCGGCGAGGCACCGGTCAGTTGTCTGCAGCGAAGAGTGCACCGTCTCCCGTATTTACTAAGGGCGATTCGGTCAGGTGAAGGCTTCGGCCGCTGCACGTAGTCCCACTCCTCGACAACCGATCCGTCCCCCTGCGCTGAACTGCAGGAACTGTGGGCGCCCGGTGCGGTGCATCCTCCCGGCTCGCGACAGACCGCCCTCGGACCAATCAGACCGGGGAGCAGACTGAGGTATTCCCACGGGTCACCCAATCGGGGGCCCAGGAAGGCGGCGACCGCGGTGACACCATCGGCGGACTGACGGCAATTTCAAAAGGCCAGGACCAGACTCGGGTCGCCGCCGCCGGCCGGCTCCGCTTCCGATTGCAGACTGACTCTCAGCAAACGACGAAAGTGCTGGGTACTTCTCAGATGGAACATGAGTGCAAGTGCACCGGGGACGTAAAATAAACAAACAGTTAAATATTCAGCGTCTTTTATGGATTTTAGCTGCCCATTTACTAGTTAGGCTATATTATAATTTCCAATTCATATTATTAACGATAATTAATAGCTGCTTGATGATGTGATATTTTTGCACGGAACTCATAGAAGTAAAATGTTACAAATAGAACTGTTCTGCATTTAGTGGTATTATCAAATATTTACTGCAAATATTAAGTCGTCACACAACAACAACAACAACAATTGCACACCTTTATGTGTAAAATTGTAATTTCTGTATCCATCGCATTCAAAATATATCTAATAGGCTAAGTCATGAGTTGCCATGTGATCAAACGAACGTGGTGATGTGGTGGGCACTTAAATTAGTGATGTTGTGGTGGACACATGAATTATAGTTAAATATCCTCTGTGTAACCACTCAGAGCTGATCTCAGTAGGGTAATAAATGTCACCTATAGTAATTGGGCAGCAAGACATTTCACAGTCCTGCTTTGGATTTAAGCATCACTGTCCACAGGAGGGTGTGTGAAGGGGACGTTGGGGAATGCACCCGTGGTGAATTGTGTTACCTCTCCCCTGTTTCAATGTGCCTCCCTGCAGTTCAAAGGTCAAGCGGTCAGCAAACAAGCATGCTAACTAAAAATCCATGGTAGTATACACATGGAAAGGAAAGATTGAATTGATTTATCTTCCATCGATTCATGGGTCTGCTTTACCCAGGGCCAAACAAGCCCAGGGTGACCCCAGCAAGGGGGCGGCGAGGTGAGCTGAGGCCAGAGGGCAGTGAGCACCCAGTGTTTCCAGAATGTGTTGTCAGCATTTATGACGGGTAACAGAGCTTCATTTCATGACCAAAAACCCAGATTAAAAATCCTCTTCTTTTTAGAAAACAACACAAAAAAAAATTACTGCAAAACACGTACATGAAACACAGCATTTACAAAATTTCCCCTTTCGCAAATATAGCACACAAACCAATAAACCCGCAACCCGCTCCTTGTATTTCATTCGTAGGTTTCCTCATATTTCACACACACACACCCCCCGCCCCCCCCAACACGCTCAATTCCCCGCTGGCTGGGAATATATCAATTTCGACGTGATTAATATCGACCCTGTCCCGGTCTGACAGTTACGGATTCGAGAGCCAACCTGGCCACGCTAATTTTGCAGTTTCAGAATGCGGAGCCCGAGATCCAGGCCGGCTCGCCGCCCCCATCTCCTCTCCTTAGGAGCTTTGCGTTGTCTTGGTCCAGATTTGTTATGACAGCTCGTTACTGTATGTTCCCGAAAAGCCGTACCTCGCCGAAGCGCCAAAATGCATGGCTAAAAACCACGCTAGCTCTATTTAATTACATTTTTATTAGCATAATGTCCGGGGGGATTTTCACGCAAGGCAGAACAGATGCATTTATACCCACAGTCCCATTCAGACTAGAGTCAACAAGGTTAGCATATTTTATCCTTTGGGTGAACGCTCCATCGGGAAGGATGCTACTGGCCAGGTGCCGTTAGAGCTCTGTGCCTTTCAGCTCACGACGAACGGCAGCTAACTCCTTCAAGGCAGCTTTGGACGATACTATCAACTGGGAGAGCCGCACTCCTGCGCAGCGTGGTAAACACTTGTGGGGGGGGCGGTCGTGGTGGCGTGGTCTGGTGCACAGGCCCAGAGTCCACTTCCTTCGGATACATAATCGCTCATGATTTATTTTAATCATTATTATTGCCGGTGCTGTGCCTACCTGCCTCAATCCCGTGGCTGTCATGGTTTGGACTGTTACATTTTAGCCCCTACGTGACAAATCGTTTTCCACAGTGGTGCTGATATCCTTTGTTGTTTAGAGTATGTCTAAGTGTGATTAGTGTAAGTGTGAGGGTTTGAACATCCTGGGCCATGATGACCCCGTTCACTCTCTTGTGTCTGATTTCTGATAATATAAACTGGTCTCCCTATCAGATTAGACCACATGTTTCGGTCCAGCCGGAGCTTTTCCCAAGATCTGACCTGTTTTATTTTCCTATGCTCCCCTCCTGCTATGAAACAGCTTCATTCCGTTGTTGTTTCTCTCTATCATTTCATCGAACCCAAAGCCCACAGTCTCCATTCTGACTTCGCTTCCCCGCATGTGACTCCCTTTGCCCTTGCTTCCTGTGGCAAGTCTTGCAGTGAGTTTTAATTAAATGGGTGAAATTCATTTGATAAGCAGACTTTTCTGAATGACAGCTGAGCGGGCTGCTCGCGGTAGAGAGGCAATCGCTGCTTAAACGGGGAATCCCGTTAAATGCCAGTAGGGGACCACACCCAGGTGGGAAAGACCCAGCCGCTGTTTTCATCAGCCGATTGAGAAAAGGGGAAGTACAAAGCCAGGCCCTAAAACGCATCATCAAAGTGAGACCAGGAGCATGATTGACAGCTCCGTTCCTCATTGGTAGGACGTAATTTACTTCTGCATTGATTTTCCTTGTCTGCTCAGTAAACACTAGGTTACGAATAAAGAAGTCTGTGAACAGGCAGCAGATAAGGCGAGCAGCAGTCCGACACCCCCCAGATTACCGTTTAACTGAGCTGCTTGAATGATAACTTGTCCGTTCTTGTGGAAAGGGTGTTTATCTATTATACATCAAATAATTACTCTCTCCATCTCTCTGTCTATGTCTGACTGCTTGTTTCTCTCTGTCTCTCTCTCACACACCCTCTCTCTGTCTCTCTTTGTCTACCTGTCTCTCTCTCACTCTCCCTTTCTCTGTCTGTCTTTCTCTGTCTGGCTGTCCCTGCTCCTTTCTCTCCCTCCCACTCCCTTTCCAGGCATTTCCTTGTCTGTTTGGATAGCTGGCTTGTCCGTATCTTCTTTCTCCTCACGTGTCACGCTGACTTTGCACTGCCACGCAGTCTGGCTGTCTCCCCCCTCCCAATGTTTCGTCTTTTACTGTTTTTTTGTTCCTCTCATTTATTTCCCTTTACACCTGTCACTCAGTCTTAGTGTGCAAATCCTTGCTCTCTGTTGCCATCTGTGTCATTGAGTTTAAAGGTCTTGCCGCAGCTGGTCTGGGCACCACATAGCTTTCCGCCCCCCAGGGCCCACGTATGCCCACATCAACCCCCACCGCTTCGTTTCATACCAGCCTCTTCACTCAATCCCCCGTTTCCATCTCGGTTCCGTCACCCCTGCTTGTGAGCCAGTGGTTTGTGACAGAGTGCAGGTTCAGCTCTTCACACCTACAAATTAATGTGCCAGGCCATACATTTCCTTGGGGGGGGGGGGGCTGAAGGACTGCTTCTCACGGCTGGCAGAGTGATGTCATTAAGCGGAAGGCTGAGAAACGAATGGAAGCCTTTTGACCTTCCCCCAGAGGTAAAACATTGCCCCACAATAGAACCCTTCATTACAGTTATTTAATGTAGCTCCTTCACAATATAAATGATATGAAGAACGCCTTGCAGAGTATGACACGGCGGTGATTGAAAATATAAATACAGGCCTGATGTGTTACATGTCACTGAAAATTACAGCTACGCACAGCAGGAGGCTGGGGACAGAGTGTAAAAGAGAAAGACACAAGTAAAAATATTAAACCGCACATCCCAAAAGTCAGTGTTCTAATTTAGCGGCGATGGTGGGAAGATTAAACTAATGTGAGCCGTGATGAAGCTGATTAGCTGGTACTTAGAGGCCCTCGTTAATTAGACGGCATGGCGCTTTCCGCTCGGCGACGCGGCCACGTTTGAAGTGAGCCATGAAAGCGAGGACTTGGGTGCTGTCCCTGGCCATGGCGGGGTCTGCCCTGTACGGGGGGGTGGGGGGGGGGGGGGGGAGGGGTGCTCGCAGGCACACACATGTTCAGTTTTAAAATATTCCCCTTGACAGAGGAAGACGTGAGGAATGGAGCAGGGGACATTTTCAATCACCCCCCTTTAAAACTGCGGCCCACGCCCAAAGCCGCCTGTGAAGTTTTCCTCTGATTCCCCACCGGACTGGAGCTTCAAAGGGCTTTGAAACCCCCCCCCCCTGCACCACTGTGGGATTTATGCTGTATGGTGGTTGCATCCGCTAACACCTGCTCCCTGGTCCCCCCCCCCCACCCCCCACCCCCAAACACATGCTTCACTTGTGCTTTTATTACTAGCCATGAAAAGCCAGATGTGGTAATAAGGACATTATTATTATTATTATTATTATTATTATTATCAAGAAAAGAATTCTAGTTTACTTATGTGAGGATCCTGCAAGACGCGATCAGAACAAGCAGATGGAATCTATGATGCTGACCTTGACTCTGTTTTTTAGTGACTTTGCATGACTGAGGATGAACTGCATCACGAAATCCAGCACGTTGCCATGCCCCCCCCCCCCGCCCTCCTTCCCACGCTGTCGCCAGCCCCGACCTGCTGGCCCATTTACATGCATGTCATTCGGGAGTTCGAATGGGACATCTGGATGGTCAGCCTGAAACTGGATTTCAAAGCCCCTTTTGATGAGCAGACCCAGGGAGTGGGCTCTGCAAAAGCAGCTGCTTGTCCTACTGATGTGAATATCACCACATTATTCTTACAATCAAGCCTCCCTGTGCCCCTCTGGACACATGAGGTTGAGCTTCTCTCCAGATCATTCTAGAAGTCAGAGACGTGAGACATGACGTGTCCTTCTTCTGGCACTGTGGGTTGATCTTGTCTCTCTCCAGACATGCGATGTCGTTCGCAGTTGCCAAGGTTACCAGCTGGGGCCACACTCCCATCAGTCTGCAATCCTTAAAAAACCAAGGCGGGGGCAGGGGGTGATCAGTGCCACTCAGGAACAATCTGATGACATTTATTGCCACAGAAACCTTCCGCGGGCCAACA